ATTAGGAAACAAAACTTCCAGAACATGGCCACACAGCCCGGAAGACCCACACCAGCCAAACTATAAACAATTCCTACATCTTTACATGCCAAGGTCATGCCAAGTCACAACCACAGTCAGCAGCAAACCATGATTGCAAACTGTAATTTATTACCATAAAATACAATATGATTTATTCACCAAGCCTTAGCAAATCATGCTAAACAAATCACATTAGTATAGTGTGCAAATCCAGCCTTTGGAATGTCATGCAAGGAACCAGGATAGTCCTGTGAGATTGATAAGTATAAAGGAAAGGAAGTGTGTGTTTGAAGATGGCTTCACAAAATAACATTAGATAAATTCATAGGGAATACTGTATGTTTATTAATGGCCCTTAGCAACAAGATGTTAAAAAGAACCATCTTATCTCTGACTAGTAGGGTATTTGAGCTCTCCAGAGATACGGTTGACCTGTGCTGGAGACAATGTACAGGAATGGATGGAAAGGCTGTTCTTGTATTTTCACAGTATTTTCTGCCACATAAACACTGTCTGACTTACAAGCAAACTCTGAATATGGTTCCTGACAGTGTTCAGGTCCTGGGATGCATTAAGAGACTGCTCCTTCCAATAGTTCACATTTTGCTGAGCAGATTCCAACCAGGCATTGAGCTCCTTCGAGTCTTTGCTGTAACTGCAGGAAAAACAAAAGAAAACAGAACAGGAACTGGAATCAATAAGTCACCACAGACTCCTCAAACCACCATGTTTCTGACTGATAACAGACTTATAAGCCAGTTAATAATCAACAGAAATTAATGTGCAGATGGAATTTGGGAATTAATATCTGGAGGGGGTATAGGTTTTCTGCTCCTACGCAAGAGCAATGAAAATATAAAATGTCTACCCTCTCCCCATGCTTTAGATGACTTTGGTTACTGCTCCTCTTGATGTTTTTTAAATGAAAAAAATCTCCTTCCCATAAGTTACCAGATGGAGTAACACCAAATGCTCTTATCTCTTGTGTGCCGTTGTACACATTCCTGGATTGGAAGGTCCTGCTCATGGTTATTCACACCTTGGACATCTCCCAAATGGAGTATTGCTATGCACTGTACCTGGGGCTGCCTTTGAGAACCATCCATTTGGAAGCTTCAATTGGTCCAGAATGCAACAGCACGGGTAGTTATGGGCACATCTCTTTATGCCCACATAACATCGCTACTTTGCAAGCTGCACTGGCTCTCAACAGGCTTCCAGATGTGATTCAAGGTGCTGGTTATTACCTTTAAAGTCCTACATGGCATAGGACCAGGTTACTTGAAGGCAGTTACCAGGTTACTGCCTTCTCCCAAGAAGGTCTGCCCACCCCACATGCTCCCACAGGGAGGGCATGCTCCAGGTTCCTTCTTTTAAATCTTGTCATCTTATAGGACCTAGGAAGTGTTCCTTTTCTGTGGTTGCCCCTGTTCTCTGGAATGATCTCCCTCCCCCTGCCAGATATACAACAGGCCCTAATTCTTCTCGCTTTTAGGAAAGCTGTTAAGATTGGCTCTTCCCCCAAGAATTAGGGGCCAGCTAAGCAGGAGTCCCCTTGTGATTGTTTTATGTGCTTGATTGCCATTTTATATTAGATTATCAACGTGATTGCTGGGGAATTACATGAATTGTGGTATAATGTTTATTGAGAGTGCCAGGTGAGGGAAACTGACCTTCAAAAACAAGTAAGAATAGTTCCTACCTGGACAAGAGTTTGTGTAATGTCTCAAGTCTTTGTAGTTCATGGTCAACTCTTTGGGAAAGAGATGTCCACTGATGTTCCAGCTTCTCAACCTGGCACTGAAATTCAGGACAGCTCAGAAGCTCTATCAAATTCTTCCCTTCTTTTGCTATTTGATAATATCTAACCTGTTCTCCTTCAATGTTCTTTTTGATTTCCTAAGAAACAACAAAGAAATTATATTAAGTAAATGAGAAGTAATGGTGCACATCATTACTAATATATTTCCCTTTAATCTCACACAAAAAGGCAAATCTATTTATCATTCAGTGTTCCTTTAATCAAATTTGGCAGTCAACACATTTTATAATTGCAATGAATCCTTTGCACAAGCATTACTTGGAGAGAATTTAATCTTTCCCATATCTCTAACTTATTCTATTTATTCAATATCTCAAGATGGAATTGGACAAGTTTCTTGGCTTGTGTCTTCCTCTTAGGGTAATTATTTTACATCCTTCATCTTCTGACTCTATGCCTAACTGGGAAATCTCAGGTTTCCCATGGATCACAGAATGTAAGGGTTGAAAGTGACCTTGAAGATCCTCTACTCCCAGTACAGGACTGCACTATTACAACAACCTTGATGTATGGCCATCCAGACTCAGTTTAAAACCTCCAGCAGAGACCACCACTTCTTATGCCACTCTATTCCATAGTTGTCACTATTAAAAATTTTTTCCTGATGTCCAACTAAATTCTACTTTGTTGTCATTTAAACCCCTTGTCTTTTGTCCTGTCTTCTGGAACAACTCTGCCCCATTTTTCATATGATAGCACTTCAGAAATTAGAAGACAGCTATCATGTCTCTCCAAAGTCTTCTCTTCATCAGGCTAAACATATCCAGAACCTCAACCATTCCTCCCAGCCCTTAATCATCTTGATGCTCTCCTCTGGACATACTCCAGTTTGTCAATGTCCTTCCTAAATGGAACTACATGAAATTACAAAGTATAGTTTCTACAGACACATTTAGCCTTCAATCCCTTCATTACAAAAAGAGGAAACATTATTCAAGTCTTAGTTTTTATAGTGTGTTTCATTAAATAGTAACCATAGTTACAATGGAAATTGCAGAATCTAGGGACAAGTCAATACCTGGAGGAGCTGAGTCCTTTCCATTACTCTTCCTTCTGTCTCTTCCACTAAAGTCACAAAAGGCACTGGGGGTGAAAGCGCCTCCAGCTTTTGGCAGAATGAAACGCAGTTCTCATCAAATGCTATCCAGTCCTGTAAGGTGAAGAGCATTGTTGGTAAATCCCCAAAAAATTAAGTAGTACACATTATGGTTGTATACAATAATCTTCTTCAATCCAGTTTCTTCCAGATAGGTAGGACTACAAAAAGTTATACTGGCTGAGGGTGATGAAAGTTATAGTCGGATATATCATAAAGGTATATCAGACTATAAAGGTATATTCCCAAATTGGGAAGGCTGCTGTATCCAACGTAAACAAATGTACAGTATTTGGTTCTTCCATTACAAATATGACCTTGAATCTCAACACAGTAGCATTATTTAATGGATATACAAGTACAAAAATATTTTTTATTACTTATTGAGATATAAAAAGACCCCTGGTGAATCAGTCCAAAGTCTTCTGCTGCAGCAGTATCAATCTAGTTTTGGATTTGGATAAATTCCTAAAGTGTGTAAAATTAAAGTGAAAATGTTCAATCTCTCACTCAACTTCTGTGTTAGAAGCTGAATGCAACAGACTCCTTCCCTTATTTCACATTGTTTTATTTTACTCTCTGACCTGTAAAAGGTTTTCCAAATGGGTACCACGTTGAATAGCTTGCTCTTCCAATGATTTGACCTCCTCTGCCACATCCTTCCAGAATTTCTCTTTCTTTTGTAATATTGGAGCTGCCACTTTTTGTACAAGAAGCATATGGCCATTCAGCTTACAGAAAAAGCTCTATGTTCAAAAAAGAAAAGGAGCATATGTACAGATAATTATATTCACATAATAATTATTCAAAAAGAACATACTTTCCTTGTGAGTGCAGAAATAAAATTAAAATGTTTCTGCTATATGTGCCTACTCTGGATATTTAAATAATACAGAAACCCATCCACTTTCATTACCTGTAACTTTTACAAACAACAAATCTATATTTTAATAGTTTTAAAAATGGCAAAATGGTTAACAATAATACTTGGTACAACTCAACCGAGAATGTCAACATTCTTCATGTGTTAAATATGATAAAATATGCAAGTTGTTGGTCATTCCCTAAGCAAGTAGATGATTGATTGCTGGGCTTACAGTTATGTCTGAGACTGAAGATGCCAAAAAGACTGTTCCTGGGAAAGAGAGAAAAACGTTATACTCTCTCCTTTTTCCAGTTGCTAAGGAAGAAGAACTCAGTCCTGGGTAAAAGTTTGTATCTCCCCTAATATGTTTTCTTAGCCTTCAAAGAATTCTTGCTCATGAGAAAGGTTAGTTTCAAAAAAAAGGAGTACATTATTACAGAAGACTATAAATTTTTAAAAAACATCAAAATGAAACCATATAAAATGTATTCACATGAACACATGTTAATTAACAACCATGATGTTGCTAAAGTTCATATTCCTTTGGCTTGGAATGGAAGGGATGGTAATTTGCACTGTTCACCATAAATTTGAGATTAATGTTGCTACTCAAGTTCTTTTCCATCTGTAATTGAGATAAAAAATAATGCAATTACTTCCCCTCTCCTTTCCACTTAACCTGTGATTTGCCAGGCCTCCTCTTTAGATCCCTTTTCCAGAGCTACTGAGATCTGAGTCAGTGCTAAAATTATGTTTATTTATTTTATTTATTAATCAAATTTATATGGCTGCCCATCTCATGCAATGTGACTCTGGGCAGCGTACAAAATGACCATAAAAACAATTTTAAAAACATTCAAAAATACCAAAAAAATATTATTATAAAAGGCTAAGGGAGAGCATTAGATTATAAACAATGGAGCTATCTAATCAAATTACCATTCTCTTGTGATCCCCAGGCCTGTTGACACAACCAGGTTTTAAGGGAATTCCAGAAGATCGGGAGAGATGTGGCCAATCTCACCTCAGAGGGGATGATGTTTCACAGGGGAGGGGCCACAGCAGAAAAGGCTTGTCTCCTGGGCCCCTTCACAGATAGGACCCACAACATGCCTCTTCTGCCAGACCTGATGAGATGGGATGGAATGGGATGTTCCATTCACCATGGGGGAAAGAGAAGATACCCTGCTTCCTTTCTCCTACTCTTGTTGGCATAAGACCCAAAAGTAAGTAGGAGAAAATGAACACAGAAGCTCATGGATAAATTGGTGCAGGGCATCTGGATATGAGTGGAAGGCATACTGGTAGAAGCACTGGACCTTATGATAAAACTGATAATGTTATCAGTGTAACATAGTTGAATTTAAGTCATAAGCTGGTTTGGAACAAAGCAAGTTATTTCTCATTTTTTAAAAGAAGTTAATTCCTTTATATGATTGAATCCAAAATGAAATTTGAAGGGTTTTTTTTCCCTATCAAACACTAACAATTCTGGAGAAACACTGCTGTATAAAAAAAATCCCTCTGGATCCCAAATGTAATAATTTAGTCAACTAACCAAGCCATACTTCTAATATCTTAAATAAGGGGCGTTTCCATATAAAACATACTATCAATTACAGCCCTCTTAATTTGATGCAGAACAGAAGTAACTGTTTCCCTTAACTTTACATTCAAAGAAGTTAAGTAGGAATCAACTTGTGTTTATCCAATCTTTCTCCTGGGCAGTTTGTAAACATTCATCTTCATTACCAGGGCTATATTTTATTTCCAGCAAAGTAATTATAGCCCTGGGTAGATTTTATGATTACACATAACAGCAACAACCCCTCCCCTCCCTACAAAATACCTCTGCCCATGTGTGAAGAGATTACATTAAAAGCTCTGAGTGGAAAATAAACATAAAACAAATGAATATTTTCTGGTTTTCTCCCCAAGCGATGGCATCTAAGGACTGCCAGTTTAGTATCAGTACAGCTGTTGTGCCATTCATCTCAAGATGGGAGAAACCAGCAACCCTTCCCCAGGCAGAGATCTTATTTTGCCAGTTAAAGGCAAACCATCATTTTTCATTCATATGAATGGTAGTACTGCAAGAGCTACCATAACACACTTGTTATGAGATTCATCGCCTAGAGCTCTAGAGTGAGGCAGTTTATAACTCTAATGAATGAATGAATCAGTGCATGCGTGGATGCATGAATATATCATCAGATTGAACAATGAATCTCATTGTTGCCATGATTTCACTGGCTGGGTTCACAGCATATGCTAGAGTAGGCTAAAACTATAGTTTGTGATTCAGCGTATGGTGGGAAGCCAGCTATTATCTTAGCAGGATGAGTAAATCAGGTCATCACATTAAGCCATAATGTGGTTTATTCATTTGATCATTGTGTGTTTTGTGAACACAACATCTATGTTTGAATTGAATTCATTCCCTATTTTCTGCAGAAGAGTGTTTTTTGTAATTAATCATAACATATGACAGAAATCCATGAGTGACTTCCTGATAGGGAAAAAACCTTTAAGTATAATTTAAACAGAGATCTATACCTTATGATTTTGTAGGTGTACGTGTAAATCAGATTGACCGGTAATTTTCAGCTTTGAAACATGAGCAAGTTTCCCTTTCCCAAGATTTATGAGCTCTTTAAGTCCTTGTAACAGAGCTTCATATTGTTGTTCATCAATGAATGAAGAGCTTAGCTCCTTCTGTTTGACTCTTAGGATCTCCCAAAGGTCATCCAGCACCTCCTAGAAATTAAATGAAACAAATTCTGCTTATATAACTTATGAGACAGTTGTAGTACAGAGATACTGTGGCATCTCAAAGTCAACAGTCTTCTGCTACAAAATACTAATATTACTACCCTTCTAGAACCTAATGAATGTGTTTTTTATGATGGTACAAAGCTGATCAGCAGTCAGAGCTTAACTGCATATTCTGACCAATATACATTATAAATCTACAAGTTCTGACTGGCTAAACCAAACATTTTACTTGCCAAATCCATTCTTCTCTGGATGCAGTTCAGGGATGTATGTATGTATCTATATATTAGATATTCCCCATCAAATTACAACGTCCATCTGGGTCTCACTGAACTGGCTGACGTGTCTCCAAGGTCACCAGTTGTTAGATCATCAGAGTTTAAATAGACTTATTAATTATTTGCATGCTATGATCCTTTCTAGGAAAACCTGCAATATTTCATGTTCTAGATCAGGGGTCAGCAACTTATGGCTCATGGGCCAGATGTGGCCTGCCACCCGAAATCATCTGGCCCATGGTCCCTGCAAAATATATATTTATCTGGCCCCTGAGAGAGAGAGAGAGAGAGAGAGAGAGTACATGCTGTCTCTTTGGGCAACCATTTTGGCAATGGCTTCACCAGCCACCTCAGTATCGCCTTGTGTGAAATGGGCAGCTATATAAATAGGATAAATAAATAAAGGCAGAAGAAAAAGTCCACTGGAAATATTGGCAGTGGCATAGCCTCTAGCCCCTGTGTAGAAGGGTGCTGATCCCTGTTCCAGATGCTTTATTTTGCTTACATTTTATTTTCTCACACTCATTTCTAGCGATCCTACTTTATGCCCTTGCCTTCCCTGATTAATCTCAACCTCAAAATGCTGAGATCAGTTGCATTTCATTTTGTTCAATCCATACAGGCTAGGCATTTATTTATTATTCAGCATGTTTACCTCTAGTTTATACACTTCGTGGGTTATGGCAACTGGCAAATGAAATCTTTCTCCATGATCCCTTAGTTTAGCTGCCTGTGTCTCAAAATTTTGCAGTTCCAACTCAAAGACGTCCATCTGCTGAATGAAGTATGAAATGATTCAGACTTAGGCTACTCTTTTGAACAGCAGTGATATTTCTGAGGCCGAAGAAAGATCTGACAATTTTCTGAACTGTATCTATCAAGTAGAAGAATAAAACTGCCATTCATTAAGAAGACAAAAGGGGCTGGCCTAAATGAAAAATATGTATACTCTAAACAAATTGGTATAATTTGGAGTTAGGATTTGTTTATCTCAATGGAGTATTAGAATAATAATTAACAAATGAGATCTGCAAATAATTGTTGCAGTATGGAATGCATTTGTTTGGCATTCTAGCTAATTGTGCCCTCTTCTAAGATAGTCACGTCCATTCTTCCTTTTCAGAAATTTTTCTTTTTCTTTCAAACAATCACAGCATTTTGTGACCAATGAATGTACTCAGTTATCTATGAACTGTTGGGAGGGATTAATGGCCACTTAGAGTTTTCCCCTAATTTTCTGCACTTCTGCAGACTCTGAAATACCTCCAAGAATGCTGATAATAATTTTATAATAATGATAATTTCTCAGTAGTTCTGTCTGGCTACAATCTTATTGGCACTAGTCATCTGAGTTCATTATTAGAAGCTGTCATTCGTAGCTTAAAAAGGCAACTGCTGTGATTTTTTTATTTTATATTTTTGTTCTAGGGTATATTGTACATGAGGCCTCTTTATCATTCTAATGAAAATCTGGGATAAAACTAGATTTTACAGTATAGGAAAAAAATTGACATTAGATTCCTTTTCATTCTGTAATGCAGAACACAACTTGCCTATACCCTAGTAGGAGAATATAAATATTTTAAATAACTAACTAACTAACTTTTTTGGGCTGAGGGTTCTGATACTCACACACATTTTAAGATTGCTCAATAAATGTTTTTCAAAGACATAGCAACCTAAATCAAAATTTAAAATTTAAAAGGCCAAGGATCAACTTAATTTGACATACTTAACAGAATATCTAATAACCAATTAGATGTTCTCAGGAAGCCCATAAGCAAAGTAGAAATGTGCTATAAACTAGTGTAAATAACATTAATTAGCACCAGTAAAGATTATTGACAGCAGTATGACATACATCTAGTAATAAATAAATGTACAAATAATTCACAGTGAGAAACAATATTTGATTTTGGGAAATCAAAAGCAAAATAAGAGAATTTGGTTACAACTATACAGTGCTGGGTAACTAATTGTACCTTATTATCACGTCTCATTTTAATTACCTGGAATTGCTTAGAAATATTGTGCCCACTCATTCCACTGAAAAACTGTTGCAGTGAGGATTTTTTCTCAATCAATGCATCATACAAGTGCCTGATTTCATTCTGTGATGAGAAACAAAAAATCCAATATAAACCCAGAGATACATTATGCAAAATTAAGGGATAATGAACTGCAATTCAAATGGCTTGTTTAATCAGTATCATTCTTTACGTATATACATTTAGAGAGAGGGAGAAAAAGAGTCTTTTTATAAATGGAGTGTATTAGAATTACGCTCTCAGTATAGTCCAGTTTTGTAATCATAATTTGGTTCCTATTATGGAGATCAAGGATTAAATTATCTGTAAAGGTGATATAATTTGCACTAAGTTAGCAAGCATGGGTCTTAACTCAGACAAGCTTCTGAGTGGGTAGGAGCTTTATGTGAGCATGCATATGTAGGAAATTGTGCCCTTGTGGGATGTCCATGCAAGAATACAATACAAAGATTATGCTGATGTAAAGCAGGGCTACTATATCTAGGCTGCAAAACTGTAGGAACAGTTAGAAAGACACAAGAGTTAGAGTTTTCTGTAAATTTGATCACATGTGAATTGATATGAGATCATTAATATGACAATTGGAAAAGGATGAAGTGTGCCTCTTTGGGGAGCAGCTGCTTTAAAGGATGAAATGAAGTCTTAACCCTGTGATACCTGATAATTGATGTAATGGTCCATCTCAGTTTTCATAGACTCGCTTCTAGAAGCAGCAGCTGTTTGTGTCAACTGGAGCCATGCCTGCAAGTTGCTAAAACACTGGGAGAATCTCTCAGAATTTCCACCAGCAGAGGTGATAGATTTCAGCAGATCATCCTTTTTATCACCAATATCTGTGTGAAGTTTCTGTAGTTCTGCAGAGAGAGTCTGAAAAAGAGAGTAGGTGAGACAGGCAAGTAAATACGGTTTTGTAGAATCCACCAATATCCATTTGCTTCTTTCAAGAGAGAAGTTTCAATATCAGCATGAGACTTTCTTTCAAGAGAGAAGTTTCAATATCAGCATGAGAGTTTTCATATATCTCTCACCCTCTTTAGAAAGGACTTCATGGTGTTCTCCTTGGACATCCCTGACGTGTTCTTGAAGTTGCAATTAGACTACAGAGATTATATGATTTTTATTTTATTTATTTATATTTA